CTAATAAAATAAAATATAATTTTAAATTATGTATTGTATGACCAGTCCTAGACAGAAGAGGAAAACCCACAATTTGAACTCCATTAAGGAAAAAAATGTACTGTTGCTTAAAATCCAATGCACTAGAACTTCTTGGATCAAACTTTATTGTACACTGAAGTTAAAACTATGTTTTATATTTGAGGTTTATGCTTGTGTTATCTGCCATTGTTATCTGCTATTACCTGTGATATACTGATCCAGTGCTAACAGATATTAAAAAATAGGTGAGGCAAAAAAATAAATGAAATTAAAAAAGGAACTGCACAATTAACCTTAATGCCAAAGCTAGTTAGCTCAAAGATCTCAGATGTCAAAGAAAAGATCTATTTGAAGTATCCAATTTTCAACCAAAAACACTGATACGTGTATATGTACTGATGTGTGTGTGCATGCACATTTGAGTGTATGTAGATAACGGCGCACCATGCAGTCATGCTGGCCACATGACCTTGGAGGTGTCTACGGACAACGCTGGCTCTTCGGCTTAGAAATGGAGATGAGCACCACACCCCAGAGTCAGACATGACTGGACTTAATGTCAGGGGACTACCTTTACCTTTTAGATGGGTCAGTAGGTTGGGGGGAATGGTTCTATATCTTCTTTAAACATCTTTAAACATCTTTAAACACACTTGTAACCCCATGGAGTAGACCACGCTCCTTTTACATTTTTATATTGCTTGACATCTAACCCTCTCAGGCTTGCATGTTTGCTCATTTGAGTTGTCATTTGCTATCCTAAAGCAACTGTACTCTGGTAAGTAGTCCTCTGGATTTTGTATGTACTGTATTCCCCAATGTAGCTGTTATGTGTAGTTTGGTTCTTGTGTGTTTACTAAAAAAACCTGGGGGGGGGGTCATGAGGGGTTGTCAGAGGGGTTGCCAAAGACCATCAGAAAACACAGTATTTCCTGTTGGTCATGGCGTTCTGTGTGAGAAGTTTGGCCCAATTCTTTTATTGGTGGGGTTCAGAATGTTCTTTGATTGTAAGTGAACTATAAATCCCAGCAACTATAATCGCCAAATGTCAAGGCCCGTTTCCCCCCAGACTCCACCAGTGTTTACATTTGGGCATATTGAGTATTTGTGCCAAGTTTGGTCCTGATCCATCATTGTTTGAGTCCACAATGCTCTCTGGATGTAGGTGAACTACAACTCTGAAACTCAAGGTCAATTCTCACCAAACCCTTCAAGTATTTTCTGTTGCTCATGTGAGTTCTGTGTGCCAAGTTTGATTCAATTCCATCTTTGATGGAGTTCAGAATGCTCTTAGATTGGAACTATAAATTTAACTATAAATCCCAGCAACTACAACTCCCAGGTGACAAAATCAATGCCCCCCAACCCCACCAGTATTCACATTTGGACATATTGGGTATTTGTGCCAAGTTTGGTCCAGTGAATGAAAATAGATCCTGCATATCATATATTTACATTACGATTCATAACAGTAGCAAAATTACAATTATGAAAGTAACAACGAAAATAATTTTATGGTTGGGGGGCACCACAACATGAGGAACTGTGTTAAGGGGTCATGGCATTAGGAATGTTGAGAAACACTGCTTTACAGCTATGTGTTCTTAGAACATGTTGGAGTCCATGCTTGTGCTCTATGACCCATCCCTAATAACAAGAACTTGTTGACTAGTTCTTCACTAGCTGATGAGGATTAGAGTCAAGACAATTGATTCTCTTGCTGATTTTTCCACTTTCTAAAAAAAAAACTTGTCAGCAAAGCAAATGGAAACGTGGCAGGCACTTTGCTAGTAAAAACAGCAAAATCCTTTGTTTGTAGCATTTTTCTTACACTGTGCAATCATGGGTGCCCCTGAAAAACACTGTGTACTTAGATAGGACATAATTTACCAAAACTGTAGTAATGGTGAAATTGTTCTGTCATTCTTGCTTCATGATTTCCTGGAGATATTACTTGATCTCTCAAGGGGCAAAAAAGTTGGCAGCTTGTACAGCTTCTATTGTTGCTACAGAAAAAACAAAAATTGAAATGCTTGATGGGGCTGGAGGGAAACCATCTATTCATTCGGGAATAGGAAATTATGGCCATGTCTCAATGAAATTAGATTTTCCCTCACTCAGATATGATCAGAATTCAGAAAGTGTCCCATTTCTGGGATCAGGCAGACCCCATCAGCAAGGTTTAACAAGGGGTACCACAGAAATGCTCTAACAACAGACTTGGTTGACAAGTCTAGGTTAAATAGATCTTACTGAATAGCAAGTCACTTCAAAGGACAGTTGATATATTGGCACGATCTGACAGTTTGAAGTCAAACCAAGAGTCTGGAAAAGCAGATGAAAAATTAGAGATTTCTCTGGCCTTGGGGCCCCGGGTCTGCCACTGGCTGTTTGCATTCTTTCGAAGCATTGAATTCTTCCTTATAGAAGGAGGGTTTTTTTTTTTAAAGCGGAGATTGACATAGTCCTCATTTCATTGCACAGATTGAGTATGCCTTATCTAAAAGGCTTTGAGACCAGAAGTGTTTTGAATTTTAGATTTTTGGAAGGGGTTTTGAACTATGTATTTCCATATAAGCACATAATAAGGTACTCCACAGATAGAACAAGGTCTAAATAAGAGATTCATTTATATTTCCTATACACATTATACACATAGCTGTAAGATAACTTTAAGCTATACTTTTAATGCAACAAAGTTTTGAAAATGGAGCCACCAGAAAGCAAAGAGGTCACTATCCCAGCCACCCATTTGGACAATTTCTGATTCTGGAGTTGTTTGGACTTTGGAATTCTAGATAATAGATGCCCAGCCTCTACGTAATAATTTACTGTAACTCAGCCATAGAAACTCAGTTGGTCGCTTTGAGCAAGGCACACTCTCTCTGCCTTAGAGGAAGATAACAGCCAACTTCTTCTAAGCAAGAAATATATTTGAGAGTAACTGGAAAAAAGAACTTTCTATCATAAACTTTCATGGACCACTGTCCTCATCTCACGCATGCATGCCTGCTTATTCTGAAACTAACCAATAAGATTCTCTCATTGAATCTTTCCATAATGGAGGTCTTGCTGGCTATTATGCAGTTATTGAGAAATAAAAAACACACCACAAGATCAGTCCAATAGCTCCTTCCATGTACAAAAGGACAGGCCTGTCAAGCCACCAAAGTCTCCACATATCACCAGCAGGCAAGCAAATGGGATGTTTTCCTTTCCCAATCCTTCCTCCCCACAATTTTGGATCTCTCCCAGTAATCCCCCAGTAAATTTCCTTCCTGTATACTCTGTGAAGGGGTGATTTGGAGTATGGAAACTGAAAGGAAGGATGAAGCCACATCTACTGCTACATCTTCTGAAATCTATTTTGTTGTCACTATTGCTCTTTGTTGTCGTATACTCTGGTGATAAAGAGTAGCCTACATACCCTAGTCATTATCACTTTTTTTTTGAGTAATCTAAAAAAAAAGTCATTATCACTTCTTAATAACCTTTCACGTACAACAGCCAGAGTTTAGAAAAGTTACTCTTTGGACTAAAACTTGCAGAATCCCCCAACCAGAATGCACAATTCTAGGAATTTTAGTCCAGAAAAGAAAAATAGTCAAGATTTGGTTTCTGTGCTTTAGCCCTTCAAAAGACTTTTGAGATATCACTAGAGGCATGTTTTCTCTTAGTTCCTCATTTCTGTACACATTCTGAGAAGATGCAAGTGAAACCAGTACCAAGTGAATGAAACTTACATGTCTGAATAAGGCTTTGCTTTTTTATAGTGTTTTCCTTTCATACAGTTCAAACAACTGTTCAAATAACTTTTCAGCTACTTTGCACATTTCCTCTTCTCCTTTGTAAGAGAAAAGTAAACATTTTTAAAGCAAAAACTCTGTTTGTTTTGCAATGCAGACAATTCTCCCCTGTGGATGAGGCAGAAGCCTCTTGTTCAAAGTGGTTTAGAGAGACTGGGCAGCCAGGAGCAACTGCCAGAGCACGTGGCTTCTTGTCTTTGGTTTCAAGGAGAAGCAGCCTTACATCTTGACACAGCTTCCTTCCTTCAAGGAAAGTAGCCCGGACTTCAGGCAACAGAAGAAACATATTTTTTTGAAACAGAAAATTATTCAAGTTGAAGCTTTCATTTCATTTCCAGTCCCATTTTTCAGAACAAAAATCAATTCCCTCTCCCTATTGATCTAAAACTAACACTCTCTTCAGGAAGTTTTACTTTTTTGGTGTACTTTTAGTAACAATCTGAATGCTCCAATCTGAATGTTCCAATCAAAATATTTCCTCTGTAGCATCTTACATTTTTTAAATACAGTATGCCTATGTATTAGATGGGTTTATGCTAGGACATTTAATTTATACATAAATATCCCCTTCATGGATGACAGTGAGGGCAGTAGAGGACTAGATTTTGCTGAGCTCCAAAAAGTAGCCCCTTCCCTTGGTGTCAAATCCAGTGGGAGGCCCAAGTGTAGTTGACCCTTGGCAGACGAAGGGTTCCTCTCCTTCCTCTGCTGAGAGAAGTGACAGAAGTCAAGGTAGACTTCTCTTTCCAGAGGAAGGGGATGAACTCCTTACTTGACGGAGAGAACTGTATAGTTCTGTGCAGTTGAACTTCCCACCGCATTTGGAGGATTTGGCTTTCTGGAGCTCAATGCAGGTGCCCTGTATGACCAACATATCAGTCTTTGCTTCAGTTACTCTCACCTCTGTGGGGTGCAGGTGAACACAGGGGGAGTATTTTTACTATGTTCAATTTTCAGCTTTCAGCAGCGTGCCACTTGCAGGGAAGACATGACAAGCAGAATCTCTCCTATGAAAAGGGGTTTTATATTTTATGTGACAATCGTATTACATGAAGGGCACAGAAATGAATCCTTCGTACATTACACATTCCTACTTTCTGCCCTTTTCTCCTCACACTCGCCTACTTATTTGAACTGCATAGAGAGTGATTACACTTTGTTTGTTTTTTTCAGGTAACCATTGACAACAATAAAAAAGAAAGGACAAAAAAGAAAGAAAGAAGAAAGAAAGAATATTAATCCTGGGAAGGGTGATCTGGATTGTGGAATTTGGAGAATAGAAATTCAAATTTGCATGTGCCAATTTAGATGCAAATGTACGTACATACATATGTATGTTTGTTGATGTAGATAATAATATAGATTTTAGTACATTGTAACACTTAAGAATATTATTTTATAAATTATTTTATATGCATATTAAAATTGCTTTCATACAGTATGTATATATGCAAATGTGTATATAAAGTGTGACATTTATAAATAATTGTTACATTTCAAGTATAAATGCTGCACCCTAGTGGAGAATATTCCAATCTCTGTGCAACTACTGCTCATTCTTCTGTTCAGATGCTACCAAATCTACCCAGGAGCAACTTCTGAGTAACTGCTCATAAATGCCCTGTGTCCACAGTAGTTTAATCCAACAGTGCCACATTTCATCCTACAGGTTGCATTCAGCAGTGGCAGGATGAGGAAATGGTTGTCATTCTTCACTCCTATATCTGAGACTGAAGAACTGAGGATCCATTAGAAACATTTTCACTCTGGGTTATTGTTGATCACTGTCAGCCTTTTTGTCTTATCCACTGGCTCTTGTCCATTTATCTATTGAGTTATTTTTGTTATGTTTCCCACAACCCTGCCAGCATTCTTATCTCACATCAAGCGTGATGCCCTATCTGTGGGAGGTCTCTTCAGATGAAGAAGGGCAAGAGGAGAGCCAGGATGACCCGGGACCCTGGTGGAGAGAAGAGAGGCTGGTAGCCCTGCCATGGCTACAGCAGGGGAAGAGCCGCCTGCTGTAGGAAGAACCGGGGAAGAGTCAGGAGGAGGAGGTACTTCACTCTTTTGGGCACTGTAAATTAAGCGCAGAGTGCAAAAGATCAGAGAAGACTGCTCCACTTTGAATGCAGCACACTGAGCTAAAGAGGTCAGCTGGACTGCTTCAGCTCAGCGTACAAATTAGCTCAGCTCATAGTGTTCTGTTGCTGCAGAACAACAATTTACTATACATCCCAGAATACTTGTTGAATGTCTGAACAAACACAAAGCAATCTACGTAAGGAGAAGGTATAATATCCAAAGAGCATATAGTATTAGTGATTAGTAATAAAGAGAACTTCACTCCCTCAGGGCCCTTCCACACAGCCCTGTATCCCAGAATATCAAGACAGAAAATCCCACATTATCTGAGTGTGGATTCAGATAACCCAGTTCAAAGCAGATATTGTGGGATTTTCTTGTTTGATATTCTGGGATATAGGGCTGTGCGGAAGGGCCCTTAGTCCATTCTCAACCATTGGAGCTTTTCCCAACTTCAAACTGCAAAGTGAGTGCAAAAAGAAAAAAAGGGATCCAATATGGCCATCCGTACAAATGAACCCTTTCATTAACACTTGACCACGAGGCTAACAAGAACTCCAAAATCCAATTTGCTGTGCAAACATAGTGAACAGTAAATTTGTATGGTGTTGATTTTTCTTGAGTGATACAGCATAGAGGAAAGTGGGCAACTTGCATGTTAAATAAGTCTGAGTCACAAATTCTAGATGCCTGATTCCTACTTCAACAGGCAAGAATACAGCTCACATGATCAAGTGTGTACATTTTAATTAATAAAGTAGTTGATTCACCATCTGCTTTTCAAAATTGTTAAATCATTGAAAGCTTATGAGGAGGAAAAAGAGATTAATTTGCTATAATAATATGGTCTTCTATGATATCTCCACATCTCCTCAAGCCTTCCATCTTTTTAGCTTTCAGAGAAGCTCATCTAGATGTTGATTTTTATCCTGTCTCCTGTTACTTTCATTTGGATTGAGTGCTCTTCACTGCAGAATGATGTATTGTTGGCTGATGTATCCTTCAGATAAATTGTTCCAGAGTTACTCTACAGAGTTTTGGAACCAGTCCAGAAACAGAACAAGTCTGCAAAAGCACTAACCCCCTCTGATAACCAAGGCCAGTGTAAAATATGTACCTCTGGCAACAACATACCAATAGATTTCATTGAATGGAAAAATGAATTCAAATTGCTTCTTTTAAGTGCTCATTTTCCTTGAGGGGTTTTTTTTTCAGATGCTGCCAGCCATGGGATGTTCAACCTGTCTTATTGCTGGGTGGATAAATTGTTTGTAATGGAAAAAGGAAATCAATGCCCTAGACATCGCAAGTCCTTTTTTGAAACCAGCTTCTGTGATTAGAGGATTTGCAACCTGTGAGTTGCTTGCAAGAAATTCAACACTTACATAATCTTAACAAGGCAATGGGGAATTCTGGAATATTTGCCATTTATTTTAACAGAAGTATAAAGAAGCAGACTTTGCTTTAAAAATTATCCCACTTTTCTAAAGGTTTTAAATAACCACAATCCAGTGGGGGATGGAAGAATGAAGAATATCAACGGGTTATTTCCATATTAGTTTCATGGGGAATTTTTCATACTTATGGTGCATAGATATTAATGTGATGTGGACTTTTATGGCTGTGTTACAACTGGCACTATGGGTATTTCACTATCTAACATTATAGTTAGGACAGCTATTTCCAGCCCTGCACTTTCCAGATCTGTTTGACTGAAACTCCTGTCATCCCACTCAACATGCCCTAATTAGATCATGATGGTGGGTGCTGTATTTCAACACATCTGGGATAAAACTGTAAGACAGTGATTCTCAACTTGTAGGTCCCCAGATGTTTTGGCCTACAACTCCCAGAAATCCCAGCCAGTTTACCAGCTTTTAGGATTTCTGGGAGTTAAAGACCAAAACATCTGGGAACCCACAAGTTGAGAACCACTGCTGTTAAGTGTTAAGAGGTTGAAATATATGGTCTCAAAGATGAGGGACTGCAATTCCCACCACCACCTCCTATCTGTTACTAGTCTAATTTACCTGTCCAAATGCATCTCCCCCTATGAACCATCATGGAGATTAAGATCCTCCAAGGAGGCCCTCACAGGCATGATTGGTGGGGACAACGGAGAGGGTCTTCTTGGTGATTGCCCCTCGGCCATGGAACTCCCTTCCTGGTGAGATTAGATTGGCCCCCTCCCTCCTGTCCTTCAGAAGGATGGTAAAAACTTTGCTGCGAGACCAAGCTTTTGGGACAGTGCAATAAAGCAGTGATAGGAAACCTTACCAGGCCAATTAGATTAGAAACAGATGATCAAGATGGTTTCAAACAGTGTATTTTAATATTGAGACAGATGTTTTTAATGTTTATGTCTGCATATAATGAATTCATGTCCCAGCATTGAATGTTTGCTGTTTGTATGTTGTGCTCTGCCCTGAGTCCCCCTTGGGGATGAGTCAGGTGGAATATAAATGTTTTAAATAAATACATAATAATAAATAATAAATGGATAGTGGCTTGCAAGTTCCCCATACTTGGTGGACTATAATATCCTCTACTATTTCCAAGGTGGAGAGATATGAAGAAAGCCAGTATGTTTCCCCGCCATGTATTTGATGTTCTGATGTCAGAACTCTCTGTGTGTGCGCCTGCATGCCTTCAAGTCACTTGTCAACTTATGGCAATCCCATGAATTTCATAGGTTTTTCTTAGGCAAGGAACACTCAGAGCCATTTTAAAAACTGACATATGTCACAAAGAGTGCTGACAGTTCAGTACAAGTGTCCTTTTCTCTGACAACAGAATGTCAGAGATGCAACACTTCAAAGAGGAAAAAGCTGAAAGCACCCATCTGACTAGAGTTAACAGATGTGCCTTGCTTTAAGGAACACTTCTTTTCTGGGAACATCACAGCATTAGAGAATATGTCAGCCACTACACTCTATGAACCTTATCAGTTTTAATATGACAGCAGGAGAATCCCTATTGGTAGATCCCGGCAATTTGTGGCCTTCCAAATTGGCCAAAACTCCTAACAGTGTTGGGAGTTTATTAGGCAGAATGAATAGCTGTTGCAAGCAGGTTTGTGTGACATGAAAAAGTGACAAATATGTATTAGTAACATTTGTATCCTGCCTTTATTTATTTATTTATTTATTTACTATTCTTGTATACCGCTGCATCTCAAGCCCGAGGGCGACTCACAGCGGTTTCCAGAAAGCAAACAACAAAGCCAGTAAAAACAGCGGTAATCAATATATCATAACAATTAAACTACACAATTCCATTTCTAACAATAAACAAACATCAATACACAATTATCACAAAAAACCCACCCCGGATCGCCTCATCATCCAAACGTGATCCAAATTCGTCGTCCATTGTTCCTTTCCTATGTTCAATTACCAGAGATTGCATTGAATTACTCAAAAGCCTGCACAAACATCCAGGTCTTCAACTTCCTACGGAATGTCATGAGAGATGGTGCCAGCCTAACATCTACAGGAAGGGCGTTCCACAGCCGAGGAGCCACCACCGAGAAGGCCCTATCTCTCGTCCCCGCCAACCTTTCCTTCAGTGGATTCAAGTTTGCACACATGATGCTTCTCTTTCCCACTGTACTCTCATTACCACCTTGTGCTTGGCTTAAGGACAACCAGAAAAATGTGCTCAGTGGAAATGAGAATCTGAATCTCACTAATCCCACCCAAGCACTCTAACCATTATGTAGTACCACTGCTCAGTTATTTGATTTGCTATTGGTATATATTTTTATTATCAAGGATTGGGGGGGGGGGGTGTCTTCTGTTTTATATGACAAAATAGCTCTGACTGTGTTGGGTCTTATGCATGTGTTGGCTTGGATGATTGGAGGAATGCAGGCTGCAATATAACTTTGGTACTCATCAGTTTAAAAGCTTTGACAAAACCCCCAAACAGTGTGTAAAGATTTACTTATGCTAACTTATGTCAAGTTGACTTTGACTTATGATGGCCCTGTGAATGAGAGACCTCCAAGGCACCTTATTCTCAACAGCCCTGCTGAAGCCTTGCAAACCCAGGATCACAGCTTGCTTGCTTGAGTCTATCCATCCGGAATGCAGTCTTCCTTCTTTCCTATTGTTTTCTACATTGCCCAGGATTTTTGTCTTTTCTAATGAGGCATGTCTTCTCATTATATGGCTAAAACATGGTAGTCTCCGTTTAGTCATCTTGGCTTCCAGGGAGAGGTCAGGCTTGATTTGCTCTAGGATCCTGTTTTTTTCAGCAGTCCACAGTATTCATAGAAATTGGAAATACAATGACACATGCATCTGAACAATATCATATTTCATTGCATAATAGTCACCACTGCATTATAGTCATGTCCCCATTTTGGAGGTGGCAAAATTGATATTTTTGTGCTCTTCACATAATAGTTGCAGAACCATTTGGGGCTGATTCCCTCTTCCTTCCTTCCTTCTCCAAAGGCAAGGCACTCTCAGAACTTTCCTCCAGCACCACAGTTCAAAAGCATCTATCTTCCTTCGCTCAGCCTTCCCTATGGTCCAGCTCTCACATCCATAGGTGACTATAGGGAATACCATTGCTTTCACTATGTGGGTCTTCGTTGCCAGTGTGATGTGATGTCTCTACTATATAAATATTATTATACTATATTATTATTAGTATTATATTGTATTCCATTATAATATTATTATCAATATTATAAGTGTATACAGTATATTATAATATTAGCACAGAACAATATTAGTGAAGTCTGTTTTTGCTTACTTTGGCAAATGATTGCGGGCAAGATCTTAATCAATTGATTAATAAAATATCTTGATGGCTTTCTTCTTCCAGCTTTGGTGAGCATGATTTCAAAATACCTGGCTTCCATTACCTCTCCAAAGACAGACCCTCAGGGTGGCCTGCTGCTTTGCCGGCTCAATTGGCTCAGGCTGGGGACTGGGTTTCAGGTTTCCACCAACAACAGCTTGGGTCTCGCTGCTCATAGCTGCCCTAAATTCCTCTATTTCATATGCACACAGATCTTGTAGCTTCCCAAGTAGACTGAGGCCTACAAAAGCGCAAAGGCTGATGCTACCAACCTTTTGCTCAGTTTAAGTCTCAAAGGTGTGAAATGGGGCTGCACCTACACTGTAGAATTAACACAGTTTGATATTTAACTCCTGTGGAATCCTGGGAGTTGCAGTTTTTCCAAGGTCTTTAGCCTCCTCTTCCAAAGAGTAAGGCAACAAATTCCATGATGACCTAGCAATGAGCCATGGCAGTTAAAGCAGTGCCAAACCGTATTCCTTCTACAATGCAGATGTGCCCTATAGTCTTTGTGTGTGGGTTACACAAATCAATCCCTCTGCAATGCCAGAAATACAGTTTAATGGTGTAACATTAGAAAATGTTGACCATTTCCGCTACCTTGGCAGCCACCTCTCCACAAAAGTCAACATTGACACTGAACTACAACACCGCCTGAGCTCTGCGAGTGCAGCATTTTTCCGAATGAAGCACAGAGTGTTTGAGGACCAGGACATCCGTAGGGACAGAGGCAGCCCTAGGTAATTTTCAACAGTAAGCAAACAGTATTTTGGCACCCCCCCCCCCAACCAATCGCTGATATATATTTTCTGTTCATCGTGGGAGTTCTGTGTGCCATATTTGGTTCAATTCCATCATTGGTGGAGTTCAGAATGCTCTTTGATTGTAGGTGAACTAGACCTTGACATATACGAGTTGTAGTTACATCCCAGTAACTACAACTCGCATATGTCAAGGTCTATTTCCCCCAAGAGCGCCTCAAGAGCGCCCCTGGGCAAAATCAACTATACTGCAGATGCTTACTTTGCGTAATGGTTGAGCCTCCCCTGCGTAGGGATACCAAGGTGCTTGATTATAAAGCTATTGCCCTCCCAACCCTGCTATACGCTTGCGAGACGTGGACTGTCTACAATGTCACATGCAACTCCTGGAACGATTCCATCAGCGCTGCCTCCGGAAAATCCTGCAAATTTCTTGGGAAGACAAGCGGACAAATGTCAGCGTGCTGGAAGAAGCAAAGACAACCAGCACTGAAGCGATGGTCCTCCGCCATCAACTCTGCTGGACCGGCCACATTGTCCAGATGCCTGACCACCGTCTCCCAAAGCAGCTGCTCTACTCTGAACTCAAGAACGGAAAACGGAATGTTGGAGGACAGGAAAAGAGATTTAAAGATGGGCTCAAAGTGGACCTTAAGAACTCTGGCAACTGGGAAGCCCTGGCCCTTGAGCGCTCCAGCTGGAGGTCAGCTGTGACTAGCAGTGCTGTAGAATTTGAAGAGGCAGGATGGCCTCACTGCGGGAGAACATGCAGATCAAGAATAGGGCTCCACAGTCACCTACAGACCCACCGCCAGTACAACGAACTTGGAGGACAATCCTACTCGGACAACGAGGGATCGCCTAAGTAAGTAAGTATACAAATCAAGCAAGGGCTCCTGTTAAAGGGCCCTATAGATTTTTTCCCCCATGAGGAGGCATTAACTATCCAGCTGAAGCACTCCTGGTCCACGTGGGAGGTGAGTAATGCTTTCCTGGCATCCATTTCCTTTTCCCCTTCGCTGCCTTTCGCTCCTAAATTGGCCTCTCTCCTTCGACTGCTGGTACGGATCTACCAGCTGAGAAAATAACATGGCGATTGGAGCCATGCAACAGTGTCGCCTCTAGGACCCAGGGGGAGAGAGGAAGCTACAGAGGAGGTGGGCGGAGCTTGTCAGCGCTCCCAATGGAGCCCGAATGGCAACCTGGCGCCGGCCGCTGTTTGCTCAGGTAACGGGAGAGGGAGGGGGGAGGGAAAGAGAGGGAGGATTTAAAGGGGCCGCGCAGGACCTCCTATCTACGCCATAGGTGATCATGTTGATGTGATATTGAAATAATGCCGGAAGTACTTAGAGGGCAGCGATGGTGCTTCGAACAACGTGGCTCGGGGTGGTAGGCCGACGCTCTTATCACATGTATATCGGTGTTTAGATTGGGTGGTTTTAAGCCATGGCAGTTAAAGTGGTGTCAAACCGCATTAATTCTGCAGTGTAGATACACCTCTAGGAGCACCACATTTCTTAACCATTGGGACTCACAGTCTTAAACATCTAGATCAGGGTTTCCCAAATGCTGGTCTTCCTGCTTGTCTTGTAGACTTCAACTCCCAGAATCCTTGCTCATTGCCCAAAACAACGGAGGCTTCTGGGAGTTGAAGTCCAAAATTATCAGAAAGACTAGACTTTGGGTTTCACTGCTCTGAACTCGTGTCTGTGGGCAAACTTTGGCCCTCCAGGTGTTTTGGACTTCAACTCCCACAATTCCTAACAGCCGGTAGGCTGTTAGGAATTGTGGGAGTTGAAGTCCAAAACACCTGGAGGGCCAAAGTTTGCTCATACTTGGTCCGCACTGTAGAATAAATGTAGTTTAATACCACTTTAACCCCATGACTCAATGTTATTGAATTGTGGGAGTTACTGTTTTATAAGGTCTTTAGTCTTCCCCGATGAAGCATTGGTGACTCACTAAACTACAACTTCCAGGATTCCACAGCACTGAACCATGGCAGTCAACGAGGGGTCAGTCTGCACTACTACTATAGTGTAGATGCAGCCTTGGACACAAGTGTTTTGTGTGTGTGTGTCAGGAGCAACTTGAGAAACTGCAAGTCGCTTCTGGTGTGAGAGAATTGGCCATCTGCAAGGATGTTGCCCAAGGGATGCCTGGATGTTTTGATGCTTTACCATCTTTGTGGGAGGCTTCTCTCGTGTCCCCGCATGGGGAGCTGGAGCTGACAGAGGGAGCTCATCCATGTTCTCCTTGGAACCTGCGACCTGTCGGTCTTCAGCCCTGTCATCACAAGGGTTTTAACTCATTGCACTGCCGGGGGCTTTTGGACACAAGTGGAACCATAGCATTGCAATTGTGCCATGTGAAAGGGCTTTTGGAGTTTTCTATGCAATGATTTGGCTGCAAAGGTAAAGGTTTCCCCATGACATTAATTCTAGCCGTGTCCGACATTGGAAGTGATGCTCATCTCCACTTCTAAGCCGAAGAGCCAGCATTGTCCATAGATGCCTCCAAGGTCATGTGGCTGGTATGACTGCATGGAACGCCATTACCTTCCTGCCAAAGTGGTACCTATTGATCTAATCACATTTGCATGTTTTCACACTGCTAGGTAAGCAGAAGCTGGGGCTAACAGTGGGAGCTTACCCCATTCCCCTGATTCACCATTGCCTTCTGTAGGAAGGTATTGGCGTTCCCTGCCCTCATGCTGGCCACATGACCTTGCAGTGTTATGGTTCCACTTTTGGTCAGCAAGTTCAGCAGCTCAGCGGTTTAATTCGCTGCACCACCGGGAGCACTGAATTTGGCTATAGCTACTACATATTTAGGGATTTGACGTATGAATGGAGCCTGGAGTTACCAGGGTCTTCTAGCTGGTGTGGCCATTGGTATAATTTTGACTCAGAGGCAGCTTGCTCTTCAAAGCTGGGATACTATGGCAAAAGCAGGCTGTTGCCATATTGTTCTGATGGCGGGTTTCTGAGAGTTGGGCACTGTAGGATGATGGATGAGAGAGATATCTTTGACCTGATCCATTGATGTTCAAATGTTGAGGTTGGAGTTAGTTACATATTGGCTTCTTTCCCTTGTAGCCCTGCAGAACTGCTGGCGGCTCGCACTCGTGATCACAAGATTCCCCAGCGCTCTCATGGTCAGAAGGATTTCACTCCTGATGGATCTAAAGAACAAGAGGAGAGGCTGCGCCAGTGCCGGGAAGAGCACTGGCAGCTTTTGAAGGAGGAGCGCGTGGAGCGGTTGTAGGTTTCATTCCCATTGTTAAAGCATTAATAATACTAGTAATATTCTGGTTATATTTTTGTAGGTTTGCTTTCTCCTTAGCATATCCAGTTTGGACCTGTAATATCTGTGAATAGGTTTGGGAAGAACCTTTGTCTTAGGGTGCATCTACATTATAGAATTAATACAGTTTGACACCACTTTAACTGTCATGGCCTAGTGCTACGGAATCCTGGGAGTTTTAGTTTGGCGGGGCCCCAGTCTCTTTGGCAGGGAAGGCTTAAGACCTTATAGAACTATAACTTCCATGATTCCATAGCATAGAGCCATGACAGTTAAAGTGGTGTCAAACTGCAATATTCCACAATGTAGATATCCCTTTAGACCAATCATAGGCAAACTTTGGCCCTCCATATGTTTTGGATTTCAACTCCCACAATTCCTAACAGCCGGTAAACTGGCTGGGATTTCTGAGAGTTGAAGTCCCAAGCACCTGAAGGGCCGAAGTTTGGCCATGCCTGCTCTAGACTATGGCCATTCAGCTATAGTTGTCCTGCAGTTCCCATTAGGCTTAGCCAGCTTGGCCAATGATAGAAAATTGTTGCCTATAGTAGTTTATCAGTATCTGGAAAACTGAAATTTCCCTTTTTTAGTGACACATCTCATTCTACACAAAGTATCTGAGCACATTTTGTGTGCATGAGGCATTTGGTTGCACTTGTGGCTTACAGCTCACAGAAATACCTGCAGGTTTTCATAAACTTTGGTTGGCCAAATACATAAAGGTGTTTTTAGGGGGGATTTTTTCTATATATTGTTGTATGGCCAACATGGCTGGTCCAGTGTCTGTTTAATTAGGTAGTTTATTAGGTAGTATAGTAATTCAAATAATCACTCCCTCTTATCTATACTGCACTCACACTAGCTAATCAAACTAAAGTAATAATAATAATAATAATAATAATAATAATAATAATAATAATAATAATTATACCCTGCTTTATCTCTCCTGAAAGGGACTCAAAGCAGCTTAACATAAAAGCATTAGCTCACAATTTAAAATACACAAATATGCAACATTAAAACAGAATTAAATATAAACAGTATTTTAAAATTTACAGTGAAAACTATTCAAACATATTCAATGCATATTCAAAGTTAAAAACCACAGCACCCTCTAAATTGATCTTAACAATCTTCTTTGAAAGTCTGTCTGAATAAAAAGGTTTTAGCCTGCCTCCAGAAGGACAACAGGGAGGGGGGCATTTTGGCTCCCCTGGGCAAAGAGTTCTAGAGTCGCGGGGTAGCCACCGAGAAGGAAGGCCCACTCTCTCGTTCCCACCAACCGAGCTTGAGATGGAGGTGGGACTGAGAGAAGGGCCTCTCCTGAAGGTCTCCGGGCCTGGACAGGTTTATACAAGGCGATGCAGTCAACCAAATAGCCTGGACCTGAACTGTATCAGGCTTTAAAAGTCATAACAAGCACTTTGAATTGTGCCTGTAAATAGACTGACAGCCAGTGGAGCTGCTGTAATGGGGGGTTGTCAGCTCCCAGTAGCCAGCCCCAGTGAGCAACCTGGCTGCAGCCCTTTGAACCAGCCGAAGTTTCTGAGCACTCTTCAGAAAGAGCCCCACGTAGAGCGCTTTACAATAATCTAGATGTCATGTAACTAAGGCATGGACCACGGCGGCCAGATCTGGCTTCTCAAGGAACAGGTGCAGTTGGCCCACAAGTTTTCATTGTGCAACGCTTTCTCTAGTCTGACACCCTCTGGATGTGTTGCATGGTACAATTTCCAGCACCCTACAGCATGCTGATAGGGTATAATTATATTTGTGGTCCAACACCCACATCTGAAGGTGCCAGGTTGAGGAATTTATATTTATTATTGTGACTCTGTAATGCAGACATTACAAGAATGGCAAGAATTTCTCCTTGACATCTTTTGAGAATATGGGAGAACTTTGTCCCATCTTCTAAAATAGTTTCTCAGTCCTTAAGACAACCAGATATACATTTGAGGATGTTTGGATGAAGACAACATGCATTCTTCTTTTAAAAAAACAAACCCTTTTTTATAGGGGAAGCCTGGTGAAAGCTGAGTGGAAGCCTGGCGAAGCTATTGTGGAGCTGAAATCTCCTGCTGTGAGTGGCATTATCATCATGAGGCTATCCATCTGGAATGCAGAGTTCCTCTTTTCTTGCTGCCTTCTAGCTTACTAAACATGATTGTCTTTTCCAGTGAGTAAGGGAGCCATAAAAATGTAAAGGAACCAGGCTGGAATGTGCATGTGTCTATGTCTTGACAGTTTAAGCACTAAATAAAGTTCTGAAAACTAAAGTAATGCAGAGCAAGATCCTTTCAGTTAAAGCCTAGGCCAAAACATTCTTATGAATGTAGTCCTGCATTTGATAGAAAGGCTCTAATTTCATCACAGGGTGGAAGGCAACCTAGAAAAGGGCTTTGCTTGTGCCATCCATTTTTGAAGGGTGAAGATTTGTAAATGGCCCAGAACTAATCCTAACAACACTTGTTTTTGTCATTGTTGTCAGGGGAAATTTTGGCATACCATGGGGTTTGTGGATCAGGGGAAACAATGCCTTCTTCCAGAAGAAGCCCTGTATCTGCTGGAGTGTGTAAGTAGATCATGTCTGCAGTCCTGTAAAATGTGCGTATGTGTTTAAATGTCAAGTTAAGTTTTGTTTGTTGTTTTGCGACTACTCCCTCCCCATTTTTGTCTTGGAGCATAGAAGGTTTGTGAACCCTATGAAAGCACTGATCCGAAAATAAATTATGTAGATTTAATAAATATGCATCTGTAGCACACAATTAGGGGAAGAGTGTGACTGCATAGAATGTGACTGATATAATCACGCTATGCTAAGATGAATTAATCCCCCCCCCCAAATAATAATCATTAAACTTTTACTAATATAGTGGGGGATGGGGGGACAAGGGAAGGAAAAGAAAAAAAATGGGGATAATAGATGAGTTATTGGTTAGTTGCACCCTTACAAATGTCTAATATGTCGCACGGAGAAAACAAAGAAGGTGAGGGTTGTTGAGGTATGTGGAGTTCTTTCACAAAATTATCATTGTTACAACTAACTATTTGTCTCTTTTTCTTTAATATATATTTCATAAAATATTGAGGATTTTAACAATTTTAATATTAAGTCTGTATCTTCTTATGTCTTCTCATATTGCTTGATGGTCTTCATATATTCTCTTCAATGGAAATTGATTTTAATTTTTCATAACAGGTTATTCCACATTAACTCTTTTCTTAAAATATTTATTGTTAATATCGGCAAAGAAAGTTCTACAATTTTCATTTAGATTGTTAGTAGGTTAGCATTTATATCATTTTATCATTATCCACGCTGTCTCTTTCTGTACTACATCAAATACGTTTTCCATCTGCAACTTTTGGGTTTGAATCACTTAGTATGATAATATTTTTTGTCCATTTTTCAGAACTTTTCCTGATAGTTCCTAAAGGCCAGATCCCCCACATTTCTCTTTCTCAATGTTTTGTTCCCACTATCCTGTCTACCCTTCTTTTATATCCATCTATGAAAGGAGCTAATTTTAAATGCCAGCCCTGATATTACATCATAGCCAAAATGAGAGAGGGGATTGCCTCTGCACATTCAAAAAGCAATTACTATCACTTGATTGGATTTTGGGGGTGTTTTAAACAGGATGGGAATTGTATGACCCTTCAAATGTTGGCGTTTTCGTGTGTGTGTGTGTGTGTGCAATATTCATCACATCTTGTATAGGTATCCAATACGCAATATCAGTTTGTGCATGATGACTCCATAAACATCCAAGAAGACAGGGAAAAGTTAGAAAAGTGTATAGAGTTCTTGAGTCCAAATGGGCAGAATGAGATAGACTGGGCATTTGGGGCAGCAGGCAAGAAAAGGATATGATCCCCGTGGAGTTGGTTTTGCACAAGCCCTAAAAATAAAGCTTCTGTCTTACAGGGATCTATTCAGCTATTTTACAAAGACCTGCCTTTGTCAATCCAGGAAGCCTATGAGAATCTGCTGACCCAGAAGTCTATGAGTCTGCTGAAGTACCAGGTTTGTTTCAGGATATGAGTACAGTTGCAGTTATTACAGTGGATGGAAAAAGCAGAGGTAGTCAATAGGAAAACATAGTAGAGTTTTACAGCACTTTGGGAACTAACCATTTAGGATCTTAGTCTGAGTCAAACTATTTACGTTCCTATGGGAGTGAGAAGATTTTATCTAATGCTTTCTGGGATTTGTCTTTTGTTCCAAAACAAAGAGCCATGCACCTAATTTGTTGTGTCTGTGTGTTTGTTCCTTCACATTGACCCAATGCATTTCATAAATAGAGATTGTTTTGCCGTTTCTCTCCTCTGAAATGTAGTCTATAGCACCTGATATTTATTGGCAGTTCCCCATTCCAGTACTAACTAGTGTTGACCCTATTCAGCTGTCGAGATCAGGTGAGAACTAAACCCTTTAGGTTATTTGGGCCTCTACAAAACTAGTTACTACAACAGGAGCAGAATTCAAAGATGTAGCTATGTTAGTCTGGAATATCAGTAGGTAAAGTGATCTTGTAGCACCTCAAAACTGAGAATATGAAGTCTGAGAAAGTAGAATTACTCTATGAAAGCATATCCTACCAACATTATTATCTCAGGCCCCTTCCTGTCGGGCCCTATATCCCAGGACCTACTCCCAGGTTTTCTGCTTTAAACTGGATTATATGAGTCTGCACTGCCAGATAATCTGGGATAAACAGAAAACCTGGGATCAGATCATGGAATATAGGGCTTATTTATAGGACGCTCAGTGTTTAAGACGCTACAAGATTCATTTAATTGCCACCATATAATTCACAAATTCATTTATTCTGGCATGGAAGGATGTATGTAGGTTCCCCACAAAAGTCTTGGGTTTTCCTGCTTATTAAACAATGGGCCAGACAGTATCCCCTTTATTCAGGTCTAAGTGATAAGAGAGTGATGCCCCCCCCCCCCCGCCCACACACACATTTCTGTTGTTAAAATAGAAGTAATTTACATCTATATACTTCTGCTATATTATAATGCCACTGCTGGTACCCAATTGCTGTTGGTACTTTTATTTTTAAATTTTAAAAGATGCATGTGTTATTACTGCATAGTTTCCATGGTATTGCTCGACATTCTCTCCACCCCTGTTAATTTCTTTATTCTTCATGGTGAGCTGTTAAGATCTAGGTCATTGGAGGTCTATAACAGTATAATGATTCTTTAATTAAAATCTCATATGTTCTAAGAAATTGAACAAGTTGTGTGTGTTTTATATTTAGTTGAGAAGAATGAGCTCCTAAATATAAAAATGCTATTGGTAGGTACTGTTATAGTACATGATTCATCAGGCATGCGTTAAGTTCAGTAACCAAAACATTTACTATTCCTGTGAATAGTTACACTGGGGAACTCCAGATTTTGGGCTGTAATTCCTATCAGTCTTAATCCATCTGGTTTATGATGAGATCTGGTGGAGGTTGTAGTTCAGTCAATATCTGGAGTGCTAAATGTCCCCCGTCCTTGATGTAATGTGTAGTTTAGGTTTCAGTTCCAGATAATGTAGATCCTAGATTGGTCATGTGATTTTGAAAACCCTGCTCTTGCAAAGATGGCAGCCTTGCTTTTCATCCCTATTTTTAAGGTATTCTGCCATTTGAAGAGACTGGGTTACATCGTTTTGAGATTTCGTCCCAGGTAATTGTTTGCTAGTGATCCCTCACACTCTTGCCAGCCCCCTCCTCCTCAAGTATTCCCTTAGCCACCTCCTAATTTTGGCATGCTTGCACCTTCTCCACCTTTTAACATACCTGCCATCTTACACGAGCTTACCTATTTTCTATCTTTTGATTGGGCAGTGAGCTCTGAAAGGCTCTTTTGTTTTACATTTCTTCCTTTAATTGGCCTGGTGGATTAATTAGAAGAAGGGATTATACCCAGTGACTGTTGCTATTTTATTGGCAGACTTCTTTGGCAGGTGATGTTTTGATTATTCTTACCCCTCTACATTCTTTATATTTGACTCCTGTACAGCTTTGTTCCAACACCTTGTGAGCTGAACCTGGACAGCCACTCTAAAAGTACAGAGGGAAGCCGACACAAGAGAAAAAGGAGCCCCAGTTCTCGGTAAAGGCATATGGGGTTCAGGAGAGATGCCCTCAACAGATTAGCTTTTGGGGACAAGTTGTTGAACACTATGAAATGTAACTAAAAAGTGATCAGGTACAGCCAGTAGTTCTAAGATACCATTATGGTTACAGTTATTTCACAACCACTCTTAAGTTTTACAAAAGTAACCAATTAAAAAAACTGAATCCTACAAACTGTGATCAGGCCTGAGATCCAAAAACACAATTTACCCCCTTGTCTTAATTTTAACATCCACAATAAAGCACAAGACAGAGAACAAGCCCTTCTTTTTTTTCTCACCCATTTAGTGAGGCCGTATGTACTCTCTTAACTAAAGAGTGACAAAAGGAACTCAGTTATTTTTGGTTAGGTTCCTATCATAATGTAACTTAGATATATTTTTGCTACTGGAAAAAGTCATTAATAAAAGTAACTAGCTACAGTGGGGGACCCCTGGTGATGTGGCAGATTAAACTGCTGAGCTGCTGAACTTGCTGACTGAAAGGTTGGCGATTTGAATCCGGGGAGTGGGGTGAGCTCCTGCTGTTAGGCCCAGCTTCTGTCAACCTAGCGGTTTGAAAACATGCAAATGTGAGTCGATCAATAAGTACCGCTTTGACGGGAAGGTAACAGCACTCCATGCAGTCATGTCGGTCACATGACCTAGGAGGTGTCTACGGACAATGCCATCTTAGAAATGGAGATGAGCCCCACCCCCCAGAGTCAGACACAACTAGACCTAATGTCAGGGGAAACCTTTACCTTTAACTACAGTGGTCCCTGTATGAGATATGTTGATAAATCAGTTTTTCTGTAAGGTCCCTTACAATGATACACTTTTATTATTCAGTATTGGTAAAAGCTCCCCATGTTTCAATCCTTATCTTCTGCGTTAGGTTACAAGATGAGAAACCTCGAACTTCTGAAAAATCTCAGAAATGGAAAGAGTCACCCAAAAAGGCCAGGTGGCATCATGAGAGAAGCAGCCACTCACCATCAGACAGTTCATCATCCAAGGAAAGAAAGAAGGCCTCAGATGCAAAACGCACAATCTCAGAGACAGTCCCATCTTCCAGTGTGACATGGCAGCATGAGGAACCTCCAGTGTGTAGTCAGCAGAGATCTCAGAAGACCTTTTGGGCAGGTTATGATGATGTCCGTCCTTCCCGCTGGGATTTCACCACAATTACATTCCCCAATGCAGGTGCTGATGGCCCACGCACCATCCTTCCACAACCTGATAAGAAACTCCTCCCGGAGAATGTCGTTGCACGGGAGTTGGATGTGGCAGGGTGGCGTGTGCGGCTGAATCAGAAGCATGAGCAGTTGACCCGCAAAGAACGGGAACAACTGAGGTGGGAGAGCCGGTACAAGACCAGTGTCAATGAGGATAAAGAAGTCAGACAGTGCTCCAACTGGCAGGAGTACAAGGCTCTTTTGGAAGAGAGGAGAATATGGAAAGAGAGGAGGCATCCCGCACACCTTTGGGAACAGGGAGTCACACCACTGGTGAAGCCAGACCAAGGGCTTGCAACAGGTATTCATATTATTGTGGTTTGTTTATATGCTGCCATTGATGTACATACATAATGTTTTACAAGTAAATCAATCTTGTAGCCAGGAAAGCAGGAGACACTTACTTCTTGGGAGGAGAGCAATGACCAATCTTGATAAAATTGTGAAGAGCAGAGATATTACACTGGCAACCAAGATCCGTATAGTTAAAGCAATGGTATTCCCCATAGTCACCCACGGATGTGAGAGCTGGACCATAGCGAAGGCTGAGTGAAGGAAGATCGATGCTTTTGAACTGTGGTGCTGGAGGAAAGTTCTGAGAGTGCCTTGGACAGTGAGAAGATCTAACCAGTCCATACTTCTAGAAATAAAGCCTGATTGCTCATTGGAGGGAAGAATAGTAGAGGCCAAGATGAAGTACTTTGGCCACATCACGAGAAGAAAGGAAAGCTTAGAGAAGAGTATGATGCTGGGGAAAATGGAAGGAAAAAGGAAGAGGGGCTGACCAAGGGCAAGATGGATGAATGGTATCCTTGAAGTGACTGGATTGACCTTGAAGGTGCTGGGGGTGGTGACGACCGACAGAGAGCTTTGGCGTGGACTGGTCCATGAAGTCATGAAGAGTCGGAAACGACTCAACAAATAAACAACAACAATCTTGCCGAAGGTGTATAATCTGAAATATATTTGTGTATGCATACATGGAAGAGAAGGAAGGAACAATAAAATTATAAAACGATGTGATACAACTATAAAGCACATTATCTAGATAAAATTCCCCAAAATGCAATAAAATATAAACCAATTAAAATATACAATATTTAATTAAAATTGCAAAAACTTTGGAAAACAAGATATGTATATTGGAATTTAAAAATAATGTGGGAAGGAGTAGTCTGCAAATGTTCAGTGATGTAATGCAGTGAATGAAAAAGGATAAAGCTGAGCCAAGAATGAGGAAGTCCTTGTTGGGATGAAAAGTGTAAAGTTCCTAGAACGTAGATCTAAAGCAGAGTGGTAAAAGGAAATGAGGACATGATTATAAAGAAACAATTGAAATGAGTTTGCTACAGCCTCCGTCTGAAATACAAAGATTCAATAATAAATTCAAGGCCAAGTGTTCCCTTCACAGGATAAATGGGCACGTTATTATCAGTAATGGAGAAATGTATGTTCTCAGGAAAGTTTTGGAGGGAAGGTAAATAGTTCTGGCTTTGTCGTGTTAGGTTTTATGTGACAATGAAGCATCCATCCTGAGCTAGCTGAAAAACAGGCTGAATTGTGCCTGGTGTCAGAAGAGAGTTCTAGTGTGGAGAAATAGAGCTAGGTATCATCAGCATAAATACCATATTGAGAACATTACCTAAATACAGTGTCTAAAGAGACAACAGCAAAAGGGCAAAGATAATATGTGACCTTCAGCTACCAGAGCCCTCAAACCAACCTGAGAGATAAGATGTGAACCAACTGAAGACATCTCCCCAAAACAACACATTGCATTTTCAGTAGCTCCCATTTCTCGAACAAGACCACTAGCGCTCCGCTACGTCTTCAACCGACTGAATGGCGCGAATTTTTAAAAAGGAAGTTATGCTGCCTCACCCTGTACTATATGGCTGCTATGTTATATTTCAAATGAACACCGGTGCCAGCCATTTTTAATGTAACTGTATTTTAAATTGCTTTTAAGGTATTTGTTGCAATGTTTACTTATGTTTTAGTTAACTGTGTCTTATTGGATTGTTTTATTTTTCATCACAATGCTTAATTCTTCATTGTAAGCTCACTGTTATTACTGTTTCTTTATTGTGTATTAGTTTGATACATTTGTACATAACTGAGGCATTGAATGCTTGCCTTTTTGTGTGCGAAAAACTGCCCCGAGTCCCTTTGGGGAGAGAGGGCAGTCTAGAAATAAAGTATTATTATTATTATTATTATTATTATTATTATTATTATTATTACTATTATTATTAAGACACGACGTTTTGACTATGGCATGACTGTAGATTAATATCAACTGGCTCAAAAAGTAAGAATGTAGATAATATAGATTCTTTTTGAATATAGAATTAATTGCAATATGATTTTAGTTCAGTTTGCCCAGAAATGGTAACTGTTTTTCCTAGAAAATCTTTTGGGCAGAAAAGAAAGATGTAGATACATTTGTTGGAGAGCAGGATGAGACAGAACAAGCACAATGCCCAAATAACTAGCTAGTCAAAACAGATACGTTTCTTGGAGGCCGTATGCCCCTAATCCTAATCTCCTGTTTTTTTTCACCTACCCGTTAGCTGATGTCCTCCAGCAGATCAGTGTGTCCCAGGCCTCCCACATCTTAGATAAAGCAACTGAGTGAGTATCAAACCTGAAAGAAGGTTGAATGTGTCTCTTTTTCCTCCCTGGTCCTAGGGGAAAATAACACAAGAATACATACCTTGTATATTTATTCCATATTTGAAATTTTAAAAAATCATGTTATGGCAGTTTACAAATTTAGGACAGTGTTACACATTTTGTGCTTAACACATGATTACTGAATAAATATCCCAGGAATGTGCATAGGGTCAGAGCTTGCAAATGTACTTTTTGGACTTCAGCTCCCAGAATATCCCATTGACAGAGCCACAAGTAAGAGGATTCTGGGAGTTATAGTATTAAATGGTATATTTACCAAAATCTGTTTAGTTCATCCTGAACCAGCAGAAAAACTCCTTGCCAATAACCCAGAGCCTCTCTGACTTTAACTAACCATCCCCATGGGCAAAGTACAGCATGCCTTAATCATTAGTCCCTCATTTTTTCCCTTTCCTTCTTGGGACTGGGATAACTGTATCTACATTGCCCAAGAATCTAGTTTCAGAATATAGATTAATTGTGTAGGCTCGTATAATCCAGTTCAAAGCAGTTGATCTGCATTCTGAAACTGGATTATATGGCAGTGTACATCCACCCTCAGTTGTAAATTCAAATGTCTTTTACTTGCTTTTAAACAAAGGGTGGACAACTACAACACAGGTACAACAGACACCCCTTGCTGTATCTTGGAGTGCCACTATCTCACCTCTTTAAAAGATATTTAAAAATATTATACCCAGAATGGCCTCTGCGAGGTGGGGTGGCAGTTATTGCTCTTTCTGGGATGTTTGAGGCATCTTTTCTTAAATCAGAAATAGGGCTTTTTAAAGTTAGGAATTAAAATGGGAATTCCCCAGGCCTCAAACAGTTGAGAAACATGTTGAAATTGCCTGCAATGATCCCAGAGGATGCAGAAAGCGTTTTTATTGAGTGCAACATGGTTGATATATTTATAAACAAATCCTAAACAGTCTTCTTGTTGCTGTGTGCTCCAAGTTTTTTTCTCCTTTTTACTTATGGTGTCCCTGAGACGAACTATAATGGGGTTTTCTTGGCAAGATGTATTCTGGAGGAATTTGATTTGCCTTTGCTTTCCTCTGAAATGAGAGACTGAGTTGTGGAAGATCACCCAGTGGGTTTCCATGGCTGAGCAGGGATTTGAACCCTGGTCTCCAGAGTCCATGCTCAAACATGTGGAGTCTCAAAAAAAGACCTTGGAAGCTTCAGATGGCCCATGAGTCATGTTTACTCACTTTTACTATGGCCCTTTCCAGCACATATGTACTCTGTCTGGAATGCTCTTGCACTTTAGCTTCCATTATAGTTCAGATATGCTTTATAAAACCAAAGGCCTTAATGCTGTAGTTCTGCTCCTAATGCTGTAGTTTTGCCATTTTAGTGTTCATATGCATACACGCCAAATTAGAAGCTTGCTTGGCTTTAACTAAGACTCTGCCAATGGGATGTGATCTGCCAGGGAGTAATGGAGGTGGAGTTCACAGCCCTGGGGAAATATGGACATTTCTTTTTTAAAAAGAGGCAGGTAACTTCTGCCTTCTAGCTGTTTCTCAACGGCAAATCCATTAGCCTTCGCTAGTATAGCCAATATTGAGATGATGGAAATTGTAACCCAGCATCTCAAGGGTTCGCATTTAAAGCTCCTTACGTAAAAAGGTGCGACGGTTGCGCAGTGGTTTAAACCTTTGAACTGTTGAATCTGCTGACCTAAAGGTTGGCAGTTTGAAGCTGCAGGTTGGGGTGAACTTCCACTGTTAGCTCTAGCTCATGCCAAGTTAGCAGTTCAAAAACATGCCAATGTGAGTAGATCAATAAGTACTGCTTCAGCGGGAAGGTAATAAAGGCACCCCTGCAGCCATGCCAGGTGTCTATGGACAATAGTCTCCTTGGCTTGGAAATTGAAAAGGAGCACCTCCCCATGGCCGGAGTTGAGCACCGCCTCCAGAAGCTAGAGATGAAAGGGGAAGCATTTACCTTTGTTCTATGTACTTGTGTGTCATTATGATTTCATTGTATTAAAGGCACTGAATGTTTGCCTATCTGTGTATGTTGTAATCTGCTCTGAGTCCCCTCAGGGAGATAAATCGGAATATAAATAAAGATTTTGTTTGAAGAAATAATCCAGATATTCCACTGTAGTATCTGTTAAAGAAATGAGAAGAGATGGAAATTTGAATTTCTATAGTTAGGATCTAGCTTTTTGCTAAGATCATTGTCCTCCTTGTGATGTTTATTTCCATCTTCCCTTCAAATAATATTTACTCCTTAAATGGGCATGGATCTCCTTCTTTTAATCCCATTTCAGATTCTGTCCCATGCTGTATTGTATGCACACCTCTGAAGGTACAGGAGAATTTGCAAGTCTTTGTACTGAGAATTACTCTCTTCCACAGGCTGCAGAACAATTCCAAAGGCCTGACGCTAGACTTTGATGTTTATCAAGCAGATGTTGCTTCATGCTTTAAGAAGAGTGACCCTGGGAAGCCTTCTGTCCGGATGTGTGTTCGAAGGTACCAGGCTCTTGTCAAATTAATGATTAGCAAAACTGCAGATGGCTGTTAGTAGAAGGCTTAGCTTTCATTTGGAAAAGAAGGCATCCTACTGATGTGGGTGGCATTTAGTCTGGGCTTTTAAAAAACAGCCTTTAACATCAATGACATTACGTTCTTGTATTTGCGCAGAGTATGTCTGTGCAAAAAAACCTTCTGCAGTCTGTAACCAAAGGTACTCTCTTTGGGACAGGCAACCGTCTTGCCTGTGAAGCTACATATAGTAGCTTGGGAATTTGTGTATGCAGGTATTCTAAACATAAAGAAGTATTAGAATGGTGTGGCAAGACAATTTGGCTTCTGCCAGTATGTTGCACTCAAGTGGCAATTACTGTATATAGTCAAGTATAGGTTGAAGGCAGGATTGGGGGCCAAAAGTATGCATTTTGTGGAGGGCCATTCCACGGAAAAGGGAAAGCACCAATGCTACCTTAGACTGGCCATCCCGCTTGTCATTTCCCCCAGAGTAGAAGGGGTCACTTTTAAATTCCTCCAGGACAGACTGAGCTTTCTCTGGACACTCCACTCACAGAAAGCATTTTTTTGTAACAGTGGAGGTACTGTATTTACATTGACCCATTGATAAGTCAACACAGGGGTTTTTTTTTGGACAAATTTTGACTAGAATTTTAAGCATATACTGTACATGAATATACAATAGCAAGTGCATCTACAATACACTGTTATAGCCTATTGAAGTGACTTTCACTGTCATGGCCCCATACTAGGAAATCCTGGAATTTGTTCGTTCAGAGCTGTAAAATTCTTCATTAGACTATAGACTGTATATTTGTAGCCAATGACTAGTGAAAGACATTGTACTTTACATGTTAAACTGTCCCCAGCATTTTACCTAGCAGCCAAAGTAGATTTCTGAGACTCTGAAAAATGGAAGTGGGAAGTCTCTTGTAGAATTAGTTCAGTTTATTCTGGGTTATCCCAATGCTTATGTAACATATAATGTAGCTTTTTTTTTATTTTTTTATTTTTTCTTTGCTTTGGTTGCAAAAATGTTCGAAAAGAGGTAGGTAGGTAAAATTGCAACAAATTGCCACAGAGACTCAAAAGTATTAATTTGGTTTTCATGTTGGCAGCTTAGAAACATGTGTATAATTTGAAACATTTTCTTTATACAATTTGATAATCCATTTGTTACTATTGTTTCTCCTTTTTATCTTGAATGGTTTGTCTGTTTGCAAGTTCCTTGTCATGGGCTTTGGCTGGCATAATAAATGTACAGATTGATTGATATTACAACTCTTGTGTGATCCCCTCCTGGACTATGGTTCCAAGAATTTATCTCCAGACTACAAATCCTAGGATTCTGTAGGATTTATTTTCATGCCAGGAGCAACTTGAGAAACTGCAAGTCACTTCTGGTGTGACTTTGCCCAGGGGACATTGCCCAGGGGACGCTCAGGTGTTTGATGTTTTACCATCCTTGTGGGAGGTTTCACTCATGTCCCTGCATGGGAAGCTGGAACTGACAGAGGGAGCTCATGCATGCTGTCCCCAGATTCGAACTTCCAACTTATCAGTCTTCACTCCTGCCAACACAAGGGTTTAACCCTTTGCGCTACTGGGGGCTCCTAGTTCTATAGTTCTTTGCAGTTTAAGCAGCTTCAAATGGTTATGGCCTTGTAATGCAGATACACTTAAAAGAATATGGAAAAAGATAATATCTTAAAGTGGATTTATATAGATACTGTATTCCAGGATAGGACTGTATTGTGTTATGGTGCTGTGTCTAAAAATCCTGACGTTTGTTCTCTTTCTTTCCTTCTCTCTCTCTGTATTCTTAGATCTTCTGGTATTTCTATTCTAGTAATTGACAAATCAGATAAGCTGTGATCTTCTGGTCCTTGACACTGGTTATTTTTTAATTGTCAGTGATTACAGACATTGTGTATGAGTATATTTATGTGTTGTACACTGCCTTGACTTGCTTGGGATAGTTAGACAGAAAGGAAGCAGGACTCACAAGAACTGTCCTGTTATTGAAATAATTGGTTTCATTCATTGATTCGGAACAGAGATGTGGCTGATTGAAAGGACTGTGTATAGCTTTCAGAATCCCCGTCAGCTCCAATGTTACACTTTCTACCCTTGACATGAATACTGGTCACAGCCCTGAAGCTGATAGTATGTACACTACTCTTCAATGCAATGATGTCCTCCAGATGCCCCCCCCCCCCCATGGGGCCTTTGTACTGACTGATGGGAAGTGTAATCCCAAAACATCTGAAAGGACCAGGTTCAGGAATGTTGACTTATATAGTTGTTACTATTTTGTCTTCATGGTCTGAATTTTTTTTTCAAATGAAAGCTGTTCTTATACTTTTTCATGTTGTTTGTGACTTTTGGCAATTCTAAGGTGCACATATCACAAGATTTTCTTGACAAGATTTGTTCAGAGGGAATTTGCCTTTGACTTTTTCTCTTAGAGATATTACCTGCCCCAGTACGGCTAGCTAGAAGCTCAGATATATTTACTCTTCATTTTTTTTTCTTTTGAAGGTTTGATGAGCAGGTCCCTTCCCTAAGGGCTTTGAAGCAACTTGCTTACCAAAGTGGAGACATCCCAGTGGTCTTTGCACTGGTAGACAATGGAGACATTGCCTTCTACTCTTTTAAGGAGTTCAAGCTGCCAACTGATGTCCATCCCTGAGAGAGCTGCTATCACCTGGAGACATTGGGACTGGTGTTTACACATAAATAATATATTACTCAGGGCTCAACTTCTGATTTATTCACCTGGATATAGAACAGAATGTCTAAGACCCCTTCTATACTGCCATATAATTCAGATTATCAAAGCAGATAATCCATATTACATGCCTTGAACTGGATTATATGAGTCTACACTGACACATAATCCAGTTCAAAACAGATAATCTGGATTTTATATGGCTGTGTAGAAGGGGCATAAGACCACAACACTATTCTTTCCATCCATCCATATTAAGTATAGAAAGAACCACCCCCTTCACTAAAGCAAAGAGCAATTCAAACTAAATATTTCCCAGAACAAAACACATAATCATTGTATTCTTTTAATCCACCATTCCCAAGATTAACCTGATCATATTTTTTTTTCCTGTGATGTTCTAGAATGAGCACTAGGTCTTGTTTAGTATTTATGGAAATACGGAATTGCTTTATCGTGAACTGATGTGAGAGGGTAGAGTTTCCAACCATGAATTCTGGCACCCACTGAATGGTTTAATATACTGTATTTCCTCAGTTCTAAAGCACACTATTCACTAATATAAACATCTCTAAAAACAGGGTCCTGTTATTTATTTAGGATGCTTTTTAATGTATTGTGTTTCAAAACGTTGAACCCAATTTCAAAGCAATATATTTCATGATGATAATGTGTTAGAACGATACAAAAAGTTACAAACAGCTTAATGAGTCCGTAGGTTTTACTACCGTTGAACCAGAAACAAATTTTAAAAAGCAATCTTGCAAATGACTGAGGCTAGGGGCTGTTTGTGGGCTGGGAGAGGCACCTGGTGGTAATTGCTTTATACTCTATGCCCCACCCTTTCAAATAGTAACAATTTCATATATGGGTGCTTTGTTGTTACAGAAATATGGTGATTTCAAATTGGGTCCACGGTTTTTGAAACACGGTTATTTCAACAAAACATTTTTTTCTGTTGGCAGTCTTTCAATTGATGACATCTTAGAATTGCAGAAACATGGTATGTAAATGCCACAGATGACAATCGCTATCAGGGCCCACCTTATGCAAATGGCAAAAACAGGTGTCTCAGTCTCTTCAGTTGTAGCACCTTGATAGTTCTTTAACTGGGTAGTCTTACAAAATCATGGAATGTATAGTTTGGGGAGATGTTACAAGAATTCTGTGGTAGGTAATTCTAAATGCTTAACAAAAGTATAGATCCCAGGATTCTGTAGGATTGAGAAGCATCAAAGTTCTGTAATTCTGCAGTATGAAAAAAATACAGCATGACACCTTTACACCTTAACAGTACACTTTTCTAGTTCCAGAACTAAATGTAGCCAAGTGAGAATACTTTCCTAACCCCAGGCACAAAAGCGATTGTTTTGGAATATAATCCAAACCAGCTACTTTCCCAATGTATGCAAGTAGAGTACTCACGTATAAATAAATGACCAGTGGTTTTCAACCTGTGGGTCCCCAGATCTTTTGGCCTACAACTCCCAGAAATCCCAGCCAGTTTACCAGCTGCTAAGATTTCTGGGAGTTGAGGGCCAAAAGAGCTGGGGACCCACAGGTTGAGAACCACTGTGCTGGACAAAAGAGAACTGCCAAAGAAATCATGGAAATATACTGACTCCTTCCTTTTTCTGTTCCATAAAAATAGCCAACCTTGAATTATTTAAAGGCTTCAGTCATTATTATTGGACTGCTATGATTCACTTCTGCTTTCCAGTGTCTGCCTTGGATTGAGTCTGATGACTTCTGATAGGAGTCACTGTGTGGTTTACCAGCATTTATTTGCAGCCCTTACTGCTACAGTTTTTCTGAGAAAACAATTTTCTTTTCTTTTGTGATTTTGGCAATCAGTGTTGCGGACAGGGTGTTTTTTTCTCCCATCTGTTTCAGGACTAATTTCCATTAGAAGCTTTACAAAAAGTTTTGCTTTATGTCATTCATGGTGATGTTTGATCTTGGAAGTTAAAGCAATAAAATAAGTTTTTACAAAGCAGCGTAATGTGTTCTTTGCGGGCTGTTTTCTTAGGCTGTTTCTCCCCTAGGTTAAAGGAGTGATAGTGAATATTTATGTCATTTGGAATGTTTTCTTAATGGGTAGCAATTTGTTGCTACCATTTATTAACAAGTGAATTCCCAAATATTTTAGACTGTTGTTGACTGAGTCAGGCAGAAAGAAACAAAAAATATTTTGCCTGCTGTGCAGTGCCAGGTTGATTACTGGAAGTTAAGCTACTGAATGTATGATAATAATGCCATAGTGTCTTAGCATGTTTCCTATGGGCTGCAGGGTTTCCAGAGGGTGTGCCATTATTTATAGAAACTTTGATTATATGAACACAGCCACAATACCAATGCTGTTTATAGAGTGTCAGGAATAGGCATTAACCCTTTGCTGTATTCCAACACAAGTCACCAGCTACACCTATCGGCATGTTGGTCTTGCTGAAAATTAATTCTTGTTTAATTTGCACTTCTGGTGTAACTGCACCTTCGTTTCTTTATAATGCCAGCTGGTCTTTGGATGGCACACTGTTTGGCTTACATGGAGTAATCTATGAGGGGCAAATCTTGGGGAATGTTGCTGTTTTGCACAATAGCCATCCTGCCTGAGGAACACACGAACCTTTAGAAAGCTCTCCTGAAGGGGAAATATAACTGTTTTGCTGTGGGAAATTCTGTAGATGACCTTTAAGTCTCTTCCTGTCTTTTGTAGAAAAATATTGTTTGTAGACTACTCATAATAGTATGAATTTGGAAATAGCTTGTGATAAAATATAGTGACTATTACTCCCACCTAAATATTCATTGGATTGCAGCCTGGTGGCTGGTGATCTCTATGTCGATGAAATGTGCAGCCTAAGGTGCTGGACCAGTCTGAGGGTGGGATAAACACCTTAAACTGCTCCTTATAAGTTCTAACTGGAAACCAGAGTAGGTTCATCAGTCCATTGACATTTCTTGTGGTGCCCTGTATCATCTTGAGTGTCTCCAAAGTGATCCTTTGGTGGTATGTAATTTTCTTAAGACAAAGTCCTTTGTACCAGTTCTCTAAAAGTAGGGCTTGAAACATAAGCAAAGTGAAATCTCATGTTCTTTTGGACTCTTAGTATTTTCTGTTTCATCTTTCATTGTCCTTCAGCAATAGTGCTTGGGCTTTGCTTATTTCCCATCTTTTTGAGGCCTACCTGCTTATCTAGATAGGCCAGTTCCCTTTAGCAATAAATTGATCCAACTCAGTACAGTGTTAACCCTTGTCCTAGTAACTGTGCCAGTCTCCACCATCCTCACTGGAAACAAAAGAGATCGAAATAGCTGCAGAAAGTGCAGACAAGAGGTGAAACAATTTTTGGACTTCAATGTATGGCAACACTGTGAATTAGTGACTTCTAGTTACACTATTCTCAATATCCATGCTCAAACCTTGCATACTCAGGGATGTGGTTTCCTTGGTTGAGTCTGTCCATCTGGAATTCTCAATTTCAGCTATTTTGGACCAAGTAAGATATAGCCAAAGTGTTAGGTATATATGGAGTTCTAATACTCCTGTTTTGTTAGCCACTCTAATAAGTACATGGTATTCACTAGGGTTTGGTTCCATGACCCCCTGTGGATACAAAAATCTGTGCATCCTCAAGCCCCATTATATAATTATAATAATTCTTACTCATCTCTCCTCCCATGCTCACATCCCATTATATACAATAATCGAATTTTTCCCCCTTATTTATAATAGCAAATCAAAGTTTGCTTTTTAGAATTTGTGAAGTTTGTGTGTGTGATATTTTCAAGTTGTGGATGTTTGAATCTGAGGAAGTAGAATCAATAGATGCAATGCACTGAGTGTATATACTCTCAGTGACTGGAAAAGCTCAGTGGCTTCCTTTCCATGGTTAGACATTTGCGTGCCTGTAAGTTCCAGTGTGGAATTTCACTTCCACTATGTTTTTAAAGAAACCAGAGAATATCAGTTTAAAGAGCTATAAAAGGAAAAAAAAACTTTGAGAGCACATGAGTCACCACTTGATTTTAAGTGATGTGGGACACAAATTCCTCTTTTGTCGTCCTGCAGTCCTACCCTTCCGTTTCTTTGGTTTCATCCCTGCTTACTTTCCCTCATTTTAAAGCTGCAGCCCAAATGTACAAACTTTTTCTGAACCTGCCAAACTTTTACAGTGTGTTTCTGAAACAGAGCTATGTTTCATTAGTTTGTGAAGTTAGCTTCCTATGTATACATATCAGGGCTTTTGTTTGTCACAGTACTCCAAATGTGGAACTCCCTGCCCAAGGAAGTCAGGTTCTTTTGTTCTTTTGGCAAGCAGCCAAAACAGTGCTGTTTCAGATGGCCTTTAATGTTTAAAAATTGTACCTCAATTCCCACCTGCATAATAAAGGCTTAGGCAACATCTGAAATACACTTACCCATTTTTTAAAATAAATCAGCATCAAATGTACATCATACAGAAAACTGGAGTGCATCTGTACTATCAAATTAATGCAGTTTGATTCTACTTTAACTGCAATGATTCAATGCTGTGGAGTTGTTGTTTGGTGAAGCACGACAGCAAACATAAATGAACTTGGATCCCATACATAAAATACCTCATTATCTGCATGTAGACAGTATTCCAAAATGTGTGTATGTGGGTGGGTGAGGGCAAAATTTGAAACACTTTTGATTCCAGGCATTTTGAATAAGGGATACTCAACCTGTATTTACAATGTATGCCAAGGGTTCTGCATCTACAATTCAGCAAAGCTTTGCAGGAAAAAAATTKGGGGGGGGGGGGGKGATGGGGACAAACAGACAACCAAAGAGCAAATTTTGATTTTACTATAGGTTGAGCACTTCTCTGATGTGTAAGCATACCTGCTGTAGTATCCCACTATTCATAAATCCTCAGGCTCTCTTCAGCAGTCATTAGAATTGTCTGTCATTTTACATAAGGGTTCCATTTTACTATGTCATTGTATATAATGAGACTTTTTACTTTTTCTACCTCCACAACATGAGATCAGTGTGTTTTGCCTGAAGCTGGAGATTAATTCCAGTTTAACACGTGTGATTTATATTTTCAAAAATAGGGAGACACAATTGCTAAATGTCACATTTCCCAACAGTCTTCGCTGCAAAGTGATGACATCTGTGGGAGTCTAATCCATTTAAATCAGTTTGACTCTGCCAGATTTCATTTAAAAGCTCTGACTGTACAGACGTTCCTGTTTCAGCATCCCTTGTCTTCCTCAGAGTGTCTGCTCACTATTTTGGTTGGTTCTAATTTCAGGGAAAGCCTGAATGTGGTTTGTGACTTTTTTTATCCTTAAGGAGCAACATGGCTTAACTTTGCTCTATTTTTAGAATAAGTAGAATCATGGAATTGGAAGATCAAGAGTTTGGAAGCCAAGCCCTACGAGGAGCACTTTAGGAAGCTGGCTCTATTTACTTTGGAGAAAAGAGGACAGGATAGCCATGTTTAAATATTGGAAAGGATGTCAGTTGAAGGGGAATGGGCAAGCTTGTTTCTTGCTGCTTTGGAGACTAGGAAATGGAGCAATGGATTCAAACTGCATCTAAACATTAGGAAGAACTTCCTGACAGGCAGTGGAATGGGCTAGTGCCTCTGAGTGTAATGAAGTTTCATTCTATGAATGTTTTCAGAGGGTGGGTGGCCATCTGCTCGGGATGCTCTGATTATGTATTCTTGCCTGGCCCAGGGTTGGACTGGATGATCTTTAGGATGTCTTCCAATTCTGATTCTGTGATTATAGAAGAATACAAACACCCAAGAACATATCTTTTTCGATATCCAAAAAAATAATATGTGGGTATTCACATCATATTTGTAAACACTCATCCTTTTTTTAAAAAAGTTATTATGAAGCCAGAAAATTTGAAATTTTAGCTACCCGGCAGATACCATAAGCCGCTCCAAACCCTTTAGAGGAGATTGTGCAGGATACAAATAAAGTATTATTATTATTATTATTATTATTATTATTATTATTATTATTACTGGAAAAATAACCTGGCAAGTTCCACTAACCACGAATGTCCCGAGATGAGAAATCAGGATCTCACTGGCATGAAGACAAAAGACAGAAGCTTGAGGCTGGGAATTTCTCACACCGCAACAAAGTGTGTAAGTGTACAGAATATGGAAAAGGCAAATAACTTTATACACATAGAATACCCGCTTGAAATTCCCTCCCAGCCCTCTGATTGGTCCATGCAAAAAAGCCAGTGGCGTTTTCCTGACACCTGATTGATCAGGGGGTGGGACCTTGCCGGCTTGCTCTCTGATTGGTCAGGGAGGTGGTGATGTGGTTGGGATTCCCCACCCAGCTAGGTGGAGAAGTCCTGGGGCCTCCAATGGTGAGGCAAGGGAGGGCTCTGGGCAGACATGGCGATGTTAATGAAAGTGTGGAAAACTGAATGAGGGGATTATGTGGGAATCGAATCCAGGATTCAGGAACAATGGTGACTTGCCAGACCCAAGTACTCTCCTAGGAGGGAGACAATGACAAAGTCCAGTATGTCAATATGAGACTTGAGTGGATCATCTGTGTCTCCTCCTAGGTCATTGTCTCATGATTGGTGTCCATCTCTCAGAGGGAAGCTTCAGGTGGCTGTTTTGTCGGGAAGGGTCTTTGTCACCTTGATGGTTATCCAAAACTGGCCGCGAGCTGGGAGGGATCCTGGAGTGAAGATGTTCAGAGTTTATTGGAATACGCTTCAGTTTTACCTTCAAAGTTTATAATTTCATAAATAAATAAATAAATAAATAAATAAATACTGATGAAAAGAGAATGTGTCTTATTTCATACAGGTTTAGAGGCGGGAGAGGGTTGATTGCCTTATTTTTGTTATATGATGTGATGTGCACATGTGCAGGTTCGCAGTGGGAAAAATAATAAAAAGAAAATAGTTATAGATAGTGGGGCGAAGTGGAGGAGAAAGCAATGAAGTCTAGCGAGGGAGGAAGAGAGATATAGTGTATCTCTGGCAGTGAGGCAGGTTGATACTCTGTGGCACCAGCCATTGCTGGCTTCCCTGGGCTCTGGTTGTGCGCTGCTCCAGAAAGATCCCAGTAAACCAGCTGAGTTGGCAGGGTTTTTGGAAAATGGGGGTTATGCGTCGCTGATCAGGAGTGCTTAGGTGCAACTGGGGAGACTCAGTGAGGTGAGGGCCATGGCAACTCATGGAGGCCCTCCGCCCCCAGGAAACTACAACTCCCGCAGATACTGCATTTCCATGGTGGTGGTGGTGGTGGTGGTGGGGGGGGGGATTGGTGTTTGACAACAAAGCCATCAATAAAAAATAGCTTTGGCTTTGTGCAGACAGGAGGATGGAGGAAATAAGCCCAACATGTCTTCTAGTCATCCAGTACCTTAATATTTCTRTCCCCATCCAATTTATTTGTAAAGAATCCACTTTATGTTGGTCAAACAGGGATCACCTTCCTGACAGTACAGTAAATAAAAAATCCTCAACGTTGGAATAAATCATATGCACTCCTTGGAAGTAGTCCAGTAAAAAACTACTTATTAACTGGGTGTCTTACCAAACCAAATATCAGTCATCCCTTCAATTTGGAGACAGAATGACAGATCAGGAGAGTGTTTGTATCCAGGGACACGGGCAAAATTATTATCAAACCAGAAGAAGGATTTATGCAGGCTTTCTGGAGTTTCCAGTTTTGTGCTGCTTAACAATGTGTTCTGTACTACAGAGCAGTGTCACAAAACAGGTGAAGGAGGACAGGTCCCACCCTGGGATTTAGTTTCAGTTCTTGCTCAGCCATCACAGGGGCCTCAGTGAGCAGCTTGCTAGGGAAAAAGAAGAAAGAAAGAAAAGAAACAAGGACTAGATGAAAGAGACAGGAAATCCCCTGGGGTTAAATTCACAATCTCTGTAATTCAGCTGAAACTAAATCTATTGGCTCATATTTCTTCTGATACTTTGCCCGGCACACATTGACTGCTTCTCCTGAGCTATGACTCACATCTCAATTACAAATCAACTGGCTCTGTGCAATTCCCCTTCTGAAGTCGGATAATATGGAAGAAATAACACATCACAACCTGGTGCAGATGTATTAAAGGCTAATGTTTTAAATGCAATGCCACAAAGAATGGCACCTTTTGGAGAAATTAGTCCTTGTTTTCTTTGTATTGTTTACTTCCAGTTGCCAGAGTGAGAGTGTTCCTGTGCCTTTAATGCTTGTGTAGAAGAGGACATTTTGGTGGATGTTGAATGTCAGACAAGCAGGTAAGAAGGTGACATACTCTGTTTTGCTCTGCACAACCATTTAAGGTCCAGGAGTCTTTCCAGTTTCACTCTGCCAACCCTTGTATTACCGTGTATTAACTACAGCCCGTGTGGTTACTAACTAAAAATATCCTCACACAATAGTTGTCACTGAATAATAGTCACACGCCCATTTTTAGGGTGGGAAATTAGTATTTTTCTGTTCCTCACAATAAGTGCACCTTTTATTCACTTGCCTGCACATCTGCTTGGGCGAGTGAAGGAAGGGTGCAACTCACCCATGTGCCTGCTTCCTTGGAGAGATGGGGTTTCACTTGGCTGGTGAAGCTCCAAGTGAAACCCCATAGTTGTAAATGGGGCAGGCATGTAGGCAGGGGAAGCTTCACTCGACCACACACCTGCCCCCTTTCTAGCTACAGGGCTTCACTTGTCTGGCAGCCAAGTGAAGCCCCATAGCTGGAAATTTTTTCACCCTGTAATAGTTGCCACAATGTAATAGTCACAAAAAAGCAAAAAAGGTGAGAAAAGTGTGACTATTATGCAGTGAAATATGGTACTTTTAAAAATATACTAAACTAGCTTATATACCTGGCATTCCCAGGTGTTGATGGTACCACTGCCTGTCTACTTTCTCCCTTCTTCAGCTCTGAAAAGGCTATTTCACAATGCTTCCCTTTTCTTTCTCCCCCACTCCCTCCTATCATTTCCTTTCCTTTCTTTATTCTCTTTCTTTCTTTCTGCTCGTAATTGTGTCCCCTTTCTTTCCGAGTGACATCACAGAGGACACCTTTATATAGCCACAAACAATCCAGTGACATCACAAAGGGCCACTTCACCTAATAACCTCCTTTGTGGTACAAATGGAAAAATATGCATGCATACATATATACTTTGAAATATATACAGAGAGAAACGATGATTATGATCATGGTTAAACAAATGATAGGTCTCCCGCCTTCATTCACTGAGGCTTGCAACCTTTAATCTGAATTTGTTTACTCAACCATAGATCCTATCAAATGATGTAGTTTACTTCCTGGTATGCCTCTTATTGTTGTAATAGTCCTTTTCAAAACATTTTGTGTCCAGTCGTAGCCTAAAGGTACACTTGAAGTTTGTTCCTTTAGTTCCTGGTAGGATAACATATCTCATGCTCTTGTAACCACAAAGTTCACAAAAAAGTTTCTTGCATGAATAGGAAGCTGTTTTGTGTCACCTTTAAAGGCTAATAATAAAGCTGTTTCCTGCATGGGATGATGAAAGAAACATCATTGGCCCAGACAGGCCCGTAGCCAGGATTTCGTTTCGGGGGGGGGGGGGCTGAATTTTTTTTCAGGGGGGTTTCGGGGGGGCTGAGTTTCGGGGGGCTGAGTCTGAGTGAAAGAGGGTCTAGCCTAGCAAACCTTTTGTATCATTACCCCAATACCCCCATGCATATGGGATATATTGAGTATGGTGATCAGATCATGATATGAATAAACATAACAGTTTAAATAATGCACCAATAAGGCCTTTTCACGAACCACCATGAAAATTTCGGGGGGGGGCTGAAGCCCCCCGAGCCCCCCCCCCCCTTGCTACATGCCTGGGCCCAGATAATTATTACCTGTTAAAGATTTGTCGGCTTTGAGGGGGAGATGGAAGAAATAAGCAATGATTCCACTGAGTCACAACTACAAATATTTTCTTGTCACTGTGACCCACATTGGCCCCATGTATGCTGCCATATAATGCAGCTTGACACTGCATTTTATGGCAATGTAGATGGGCCATAGCTATACCCACATTTAATTAATGTAGCGGAGCACTGACTTCTAAAAGCTACCCTGGAAAATGAAATTCTCCCTTCATGTTTAGAATAAGAAGCATCGTTCAGTTAGGATCCCATGGGGCATTCTTTGGCTCTCTAAGGGACCCCTAAAATACGGCTTAGCTTCTGCCAGCCTAGCAGTTTGAAAACATGCAAATGTGAGTAGATGAATAGCTACTGCTCCAGAAGGAAGGTAACGGTGCTCCATGCAGTCATGCCAGCCACATGACTTTGGAGGCGTCTACGGACAACACCAGCGCTTCGGCTTAGAAATGGTGACAAGCACTAACCCCCAGAGTCAGACATGACTAGACAATGTCAGGGGAAAACCTTTACCTTTTCTTTTTCTGCTCCAGAAATAAGGCCGCAGCACAAAAATTAGAAGAGAGGAAATACAATTTGATTTTGAAACTAATGCAGAACTTGGGTATGGGTCTTAACAGTCGATTGGCTTAAAATGGGGTGGGCAGAATATAGAGAGAGCTAGTATAGTGGCTTAAGGATGCATCTACACGGAAGAATTGATGCATATTGACACCATTAACTGTCATGTAGTTTTGCAAGGTCTGTAGCCTTCTCTGCTGCTGCTAAGTATTGGGAAATCACCAAACTCCCTGGATCCTATCGCATGGCAGTAAAGTAGTGTCAGAAAGAATTAATGATGGGTTTTTTGTAAGTTAAAGATTAACTGTATGGCCATGTTCCAGAAACATTTTCTCCTGACGTTTCGCCTGCATCTATGGCAGGCATGCTCATTACAGTGTAGTGTGAAAAATACACCCCCTACTCTCCCCTCCCCTCCCCATTGGCTCAGAAGGAGCATGCACTTCTGATTCCGATTCTCCCTTCCTCCCCCCCCCCCGCTCCCTCCGCTCTTTTTCTATTGGCCAGAGCTAAAGAGTGAGCGATAGAAGAGAAAGGCGGAGGAAGAAGGAGGAGGGGGGGGGGGTATGAGCTCTGACTCCCGATTGGCTGCGGTGAATAATGACTCAGGAGCCGGGTTGAAAGAAGGCGCCGCGCTAACCCCGCCCTTTCGTCGGGGCTCATTTGCATATCCGGCGGGAACGCCCCCTCCCGGAGGTATCCAGGAAGGCGAGGCGGCGGCGCTGCTGCTGCTGCTGCTCGAAGGGCGAGATTGTGCGGTAAGCAACGAGATATGGAGAGCCGGAGGAAGGGGGGGGGGGGGGGGGGGAGAGAATGAATGCCATTGAGGTCATGCTGTAACATGTGAGGGATGCAAGTAAGGGGGGTGGGGTTGGGAGGGAGAGAAAGAGAGAGATCGAGGGAGAGAGAAAGAAAGAAAGAAAAGAAGGGAAGAGGCAAGCTTTCCTTCCTTCCTTCCTTGTGGGGTGGGGTTACAGCTTTGCCTCCCTGCTGGAAGGTAAGTTTGCAGCCGGCCTTTGCTGAAGTGTATGTTTTGGAGAGGATTTGGGAACAGATTTGGGGTGCTTCTCTTTTGACCTCAAATGTGAGAGTAGGGGGGGGGGGGCTAGAAGGCCAGGGTTGGGGGAGGGGGGCTGTCTGAAGCCTGACACTTGCTGTGTACTCCAATCAGCTCTCTTGTTAGGATCTGATTGAGGGTGCATCCACACTGTTGAATGAATGCACTTTGATACCACCTTAACTGCCATGGCTCAAGGGAGTTGTGGTTTCATGAAGTCTGTAGCCTTCTCTGCCAGAGAGTGCTGGGCTTCATCAAACTACAGCTCCCAGGATTCCATAGCATTGTGGCATAGCAATTAAACTGGTGCTGGACCGCATTAATTCAACAGTGTAGACTAGGCATGGGCAAACTTGGGCCCTCCAGGTATTTTGGATTTCAACTCCCACAATTCCTGTTAGGAATTGTGGGAGTTGGAGTCCAAAACACCTGGAGGGCCTAAGTTTGCCCATGCCTGGTGTAGATGCACTCGCAAACACTAGGACACAAGAGTTTTTGGGTGGATGGGGTTGGATCTGACAGTATCTCAGGTTGGATGAGGCTTTGCTAAAGGTGAGGGTGGGCCGACCTTGGGGAGCCTGCCATTGTGGGCTGAGAGACTTACCTGGGTGAAAGGAACTAGTTCCAGGTGTTAGGTTTCCGGGTGTGGTGCGGCCTTTCTGGTGCTTTGTTCGCCTGGCCTTGCAGTGTGGCTTGAAACCGAAGGTATTCTGGGAGGTGGTTTGCTCTTCTCCCTATAAGGACACTTTTGTTTGCACAGGTGCCAGGGTGAGCAGCAAAGCAAGGCTATAACCTCGCTTCCCGTGGCTATTATTTGTTTCAGGTTGCTCTCTTTTTTTCCTTAATATCACTTTATGAGTTGACGAAGGCCAAGGTAGTCATTTGGCATAAAAGTGCTTCCTTTTGTAAGCTTGCTTGAATAGAATAAAAGTGCTTGGCAGAAAGCAGACAATGATCTTGCCACAAGACAGAGATTTGTGGGTTAATTTATGCAATGAGAGAAAGCCAATGCTTTGGCACATTTAGGGTGCATCTGTACAGTAAGATTAAAACTTCTATACAGTAAGAGGCGCCTTCTTTGGAGTCTTTAAACAGAGGCTGGATGGCCATCTATCGGGGGTGCTTTGAATTCAATTTTCCTGCTTCTTGGCAGAATGGGGTTGGACTGGATGGCCCACAAGGTCTCTTCCAACTCCATGATTCTATAAAACAGTTTGATCCCACTTTTATCTGCCATGATTCAATGCTATGGAATTGTGGATGTTGTAGTTTGGCGAGGCACCAGCACTCTAACAGAGAAAGCTATAGATCTTTTAAAACTAGCTATGGCAGTTGAAGTGGGGTCAAACTGCATTAATTCTATAGTGTAGATGTATCCTTGATCGAGATAGTTCTGAAGTTGGGTTGCTGTGAGTTTTCCAGGCAGTATGGCCATGTTCCAGGAGCATTCCCCCCTCATGTTTCACCCACATCTACGGCAGGCATCCTCAGAGGTTATGAAGTCTGCTAGAAACTAGGCCAGTGAGGTTTATATATCTGTGGAATGTCCAGGTTGGGAGAAAGAACTCTTGTCTGCTTGAGGCAAGTGTGAATGTTGCAATTGGCCAGCTTGATTAGCATTGAATAGCCTGGCAGCTTCAAAGCCTGGCTGTTTCCTGCCTGTGGTATCCTTTTTTGGGAGGTGTTAGCTGGCCCTGATTGTTTCCTGTCTGAACTTCCCTGTTTTTTGACTGTTGCTCTTTATTTGATGTCATGGAGTTTTTAATACAGGCAACCAGTTCTGAAGTTGTAAAAAGCTATCCTGAATTAAGTAGCTATTCTTTATGGAGATGACTGTCGTTCACAAACTGAACCAGGTTTGGCTTAAATTAAAGCCTGAGGAAATTTATCTTTGGGCTATAACAACTTGAATTTATCTTCCAGAAAACAATTTCTATAACCTGACAGGATGGGGCATTCTGGGAGTTGTAGTACAAAAATACCTTTGCTGAAGTTGGTTTGATGTAATGACTGCCTCTGCTGATAAGCCTGAGGCAAACTGAAACCTCCATGCAATCTTTTAGCAATTTGAATCGACAGAACTCCCTGCCTAATAAAGGGGCTTGTCTTGTTGAGTTTCGACTACTGAAAATGGCCTTGCTACACCCCCTGAGGCAAAGCAAAGCAGGAAGCTAACAAAATCCCACACCTAAAGGCTTGTAAACTCCTTTCCTGCTTTTCTTGGAGTCTTATTTGGAGGCAGAGCATCCAAGCTACAGTTTCTAATGCAAGCGGGATTCTTCAGACAGTAAAGGATTGTTGGCTGAAATAGGGACATTGTTGGAGGAAGAGCAACACATTACCAGGTCTCATTTATTCCAGCCTGTTTTGGTGAAAACTGGATCCCTTTGAAATACTTTCCCTTATTGTTGGGAATAAATCCCTCTGTGGTTGTCTTATTAATAGTCTTTCACCAGGTTTTCATTCCCAGGCTCAGACAATGGCTTATTATTCTAGATCAATGACTTGCTTCCTTTGCCCTTCACCTCTACCTGTTCTGCTGTGAAAATGGTTGTCATCTTTGCCTTTGAGGGAGAGCAGACGGCCATGCAATTCTGCCTTCCCCAATCATAGGGCTGGAGATTGTGCAGCCCCCTTGGTGAACTTGGAGTTCAGCTCCCAGCATCCCTGATAAATTCACTCAGAAGTGTTGAATGCTGGGAGCTACAGTTACACAACATAGTTCTCATCCTCAACCATCCAGGTATCTCGAGAGGTGTTAAACTAAAAATCCTATGGGTTTTTGTGAGTTTTCCAGATTGTATGGCCATGTTCCAGAAGCATTATCTCCTGTTGTTTCACCTGCATTTATGGCAGGCAGCCTCAGAGGTCACAACCTCTGAGGATGCCTTCCATAGATTCAGGCAAAATGTCAGGAGAGAATGCTTCTGGAACATGACCAGTTTTGTCTGTAAAACTCACAAAAACCCAGTGATACTGGACATGAAAGTCTTTGACAATACATTAATAATCCTATGTTTGTTGGGGTAGAATGGAGGTTATGATATAACACATCTGGAGGACACTGTGTTGGGGAAGCTTGGTGTATCATTTATGCCTACTCTCCTGATGACACTTATGTCCATAGGACTTTCTTAGATAATGCTTGTTTACTTTTGATAGCAGAAATTTAATTGTTATTAAGATCCCGTGTAGATACCTATTTAACATACATCAGGCATGTTTTGCATCATAGAAGTTCCTAGATGATGGCACTTAGGGTTGTGAGAACTTTACCTTGTATCATTAGCAGTGCAAATAGCTTCCATTTTTCTGACTACTTTCCATTATATATATGTACACACATTCTAGTTACTGCATTTATTATTGCAATTTACCCGAAATGTAATACAATTGTCTGGTTGATACTGACACGATAAATAAATAAATAACCCCAAATGATAGTAAATTCCTTTCTTATACAGCATTGGTCTCAGTGGATGGATCTACACTGCCATATAATCGAGATTATCAAAACAGATAATCCAGATTATCTGCTTTGAACTGGATTGTATGAGTCTACACTGCCATTTACTCCAGTTCAAAGCAGATAATCTGGACTGACAGTATAGATGTGGCCTGTGTCAAAAACTATAAAGTCTGATTTGTCCCATCATAAATAGTCTTTTTTGTTATCCACCCTTTTTCCTTATCCTTAAACTGAATTTCATATTGTGCACAGTTTCTTTGTAGAGCTAATATTCACATTCCATATTGTTTATTGTAAAAAAAAAAAAGTCTGCTGCTGTTTAGCTTTAGTAGCACTAATGTGTCTCATATGCTCACAGATCAAACCCCGAAGGGTACACTGTTAAAATAATATGGCTAACTTTTCAATAAATAGGTCTTGTATGGGAGTGTGGGACTATATGCCCAGAAGGGATGATCCATATAGAATTAATGCAGTTGGACACCACTTTAACTGCAATGGATCAATGTTATGGTATCATGGGAGCTGTCATTTTATAAAGTTTTAGCTTTCTCAGACGAAGAGTGCTAATGCCTCACAAACTACAAATCCCAGGATTCAACAGAATTGAACTATGGCAGTTGACGTGGTGCCAGTTCGCATTAATACTACTGTGTAGATTCACCCTAAAATTCCACATTGTTCATACCCACAACATGATATTATTAGTATACCACTAAATATAAATGAAAGTATTTCATATAATACGTTGTCAAAGGCTTTCATTGCCGAAATCACCAGAGTGTTGTGTGGCTTCCGAGCTGTATGGTGTGTTCTAGCAGCATTTTCTTCTAATGTTTCATCTGCATCTGTGGCTGGCTTTTCAGAGGGTCATTCTCTGAAGATGCCAGCCAGCCACAGATGCAGGTTTATTTTATGTATTTATCGTGTCATCAGCAACCAGACATTTGTATTACTTTTTTAACAAACACAAACAAACAAGCAGACAAAACACAGAATTTGCAAGCTTGGTAGTTGATTAAATGTCCTTTGACCAGTAGCTGGCTACTTGGAGTGCCTCTGGTGTTGCCGCAAGGAGGTCCTCCATTGAGCATGTGGCGAGGCTCAGGTTGCATTGCAGCAGGTGGTCTGTAGTTTGCTCTTCTCCACACTCGCATGTCGTGGATTCCACTTTTTAGCCCCATTTCTTAAGATTGGCTCTGCATCTCGTGGTGCCAGAGCGCTCAGATGCA